AGTGATTATTCAGATTTTCATTTCAGTTATGATTTTTGTTTACACGATCATGAAAAACTAAAAGTGGTGAAAATTAATATGATGGTGTTATTTAATGTTCAGGCAGTTTCCTGGTATATCATGATACTGTTATTGTTTCAGCATAAATGGCCTTTTGTTTACAATGCTACAATACCATGTGAAGACATGGTATTGTAGCATTGTAGCAGTAGTATCATTGCTTATTTATAGCTTTAGTACTTTTAGAAATTAGTGTTAAAATACTCATTTAATATTATAATTGCAGTGTCATGGGGGTAGTAGTGTTTTTCTTGTGTCTCAGTCAGCTGAGTGTTTTAACTGCACAGTTACAGTGTTATTAATTCAGTATTAAATTAGTATTGTTGCAGTGTTACATTAGTAGTTTAGCACTGTGTTGGTACCCTGCAAATATTAGTGTGGTAGTACTTTAGTGTAACTCAGATGTTACTGTAACATGAAATAAGTATTAATGTAGTTCTTGCAGCCCATTAAACTGAGTTTTTTAACTGAAACAGTAAAATGTAATTGGACGTCTGCAGAGATGCTCTTTATTTCAGGCGATGTTCAGGATAAAAGTGTTGAAGGACTGACTTACACTGTCTTTGTGTCTTTGTTTAGAAGCAGAGCGACACAGATGGATCCAGCTTTAAACCCTGTCATCACTGTGGTGGTGGGAAAGACTTCCTCTGTGACCTTTGTGGAAAAACTTTCAGTCGGCAACAAACCCTGAAAGTGCATCAACGTAAACACACTGGAGAGGAACTAAACTATGGCAAATAATGTGGGAGAAACTTCACCACATCAAGTAAATTAAAACACTATCAATCACTAGTGGGGTGAATGTTCTGTGATCAGTCTGATCCTTCAATACTACTGGTCACCTTAAAACACACAAACGACTGCACACAGGAGAGAAACCATACAAGTGCAGGCACTGTGACAAAAAGCTTCATCGTAACTATCATGAACGTACACACAAGGAAGGAAACTACAGCTGTGACCAGTGTGACAAGAGCTTCAGGAATCTCAGTTCATACTCCGAACACAAACGATCCCACGTTACTAATAAACTGTTTCACTGTTACCACTCAGGGCTGAAATCACTCCCATCACAGTAACTCTGAAGAGACAGAAAGATCCTCTTCTGGTTTCACAGTCTGTTGGGTTTAAGTCAACCCTGCTGGTTAATGCAGAAACGGTTACTGAGAGAAACCACACAGACACTGTTAGATTTATCTAGTTAAAAACCTATTGCTGGACCAGCCGAGACAACCTGCTGCAACTAGCGAACATAAGCCACCAGGCGGAACTCTTTGTGTGATGTCGCGCGCAGGGAGCCAACTGAGGTGAAGCGTTGCTCCACCCACTCCAACGCCGTTAGACTCTCAGCCGGCTTTTTCCTAGCGCTGCTTTTATTGTGGTTAAATGAATATGCATGGTTTCACAAACGTGTGACATCTCAAACAGGCATATGTGTGACCAAATAGTACCAGCCTGTGTGTACATGTAGATATGCGTATGTGTGTGTGAATGTGGGCCAAAATGTGACCCTGTAAATGACTCCCCAGATAGCTGGGCCAGGGAGTCCAGTAGTTCACCTAAACAAAAGGTTCTTATACTTAAACCGATACAAATGTGTTTGCCATACCATGTATCAGAAGGAGAAGATACAACCTGCCTCTGTTTTCTTGTTCAGGTTGTTTGTGTTATGAAATCTTGCAAAGGTTAAACAAAAATATAAAATGTTAAAGAAATTGTTTGAGCCATTATTGAACTTCTCATCTTTCAGAGTAAAGACTGAAGTGACAAATGGAAACATGTTTACAGTCAGAGTCAGATGAACTGTTTTCAGTGGCACTGTTACATCCCCTGGCTAGTCTAGGGGGTTGGAGGGA